GTCACTTTGACTGACTTACTGGGGTAGTTCTTAACAGACCTTTCTCATAATAATGCTGATATTATTTAAATCTTTTTTTTTTAGCCTAACTACAAAAGATGTTGCTGTAGAGCAATGTGACTATGCAAACGCTAATGTCATATAGCGTTTTGGGAAACGACACAGATGGATTGTGCTTGGTTGTCAGTGTTCACAAGCAGTCACACGTTCTTAATGGATTGTGGAGATATATAGCCTCAGAGGTACAAAATAGGGATATGAAAAGTATAAGAATTGACTTTGGACCTTCATAGAGGAACCTCCTCATTTATACAATCATGAATATTTGTTCGTGTTGAAAATTGAAATGAGCATTTGAGTCGCGACATGTTTGTTATGACCAATACATACTTTAAATGTAGATTACATGTAAAAAGCGGCACATTCGGGTCTTTAAAATCCCCATTTGTAGGCAGATACATAAGATGAGACATACAGGTTTACCTCAAAGTGTAATGGAATCATCCAGAATACAGATTTAATCTTTTTAGATTTTGTAAAATAATAAATATAGAAGAATGAGACCTGTGTTTTTTATGCCTTGAACAAAGTGATAAACATCAGTTCTAAGTGAAAGGCCCCTCTACCTCGAACATCATCCTGCTTATGTGTTAGGAATGGCTGGAAAACTAACTCTTTAAATTATAACAACACTCAACCGATATCAAGTCATTATAACTCATTCTATTCTCAAATGGTACAAGAGCATATTAACAGAATATTTACACACACACACACACACACACACACACACACACACACACACATATATATATATATATATATATACTGGACTGGTATGATATACAAGTTTATTTGTAATTGACGGTCGCAATAATAATCGAATTACCTTTACCTGTAAATACATATATGTATGAGAGCTAAAATAAATACATTTAAATAGATCGTGAAATTCATCAGTCGCACAGACGCTATGTTGTGTCCTCACGGGGCAGACGTCATCTGCCGATTTCTATCGGTCCATTAGAGGTACTGTGTTTAAGGAAAGGCACTGACATGTTGTAGGGAAGTAGTAACTAATTTTCGAAAGAAGAGGAATCTTTCAATAATGGATACTGTTATCCCTTGGAACTAGGCGATGTATTATTTCTTTATGATTGTATGAAATGGTCTGGAAGTACAAATTCAACTTGTGATCTTAACCAACTTCTGTTGACGTTATTAGGATTCAGGAATACTTCACTAAGTCCACAGTGATCCAAAGTTTTCTGTACATAAGATAAGTTGTATGTCGGAAGTCTGTCGTAATATGAATAATTGTATGATAGAATGAAAATATGGAGGAACTTTTTAATTTTTCATTATTATGTATTGACGAAGGGGGGTATCTGTGGGTGATCCCAATGAAGAGGTAGGAAGGTATAAGCCTCGTCTTTATTTGTTTAAGCTGGCTGCAAACTGGGGTGTCTCTAAAATGGGGAGTCACCTTTAAACCCTGACATTTGTATGTGTCTGAGGATCTCAGCTTATACAGAATAATACAATACGGTGAACATATGAGATGAACTGTAGTGATAGACAGTAGCTGTAAACCGTGTAACATTATAAACTATTTCCAGAAGCCTTGTTTACATCAAATTGGGTTTAAATCAGTAAACTGTATATTTGAGATTTATTAACAATCTTCTTAAAGTTTCGTGTAGTGTGATAAGGGTTTCAAATATTAACGAAGTAAATTCTGTTCATAGGAATATTTTACAAATCTCGACCGAAGCGCTCTCTAAATCTCCGACAGCACTCGGTCTAGCGATACACAATAATGATGGAATCACATGTTAGAACGAGGATCACACGCAACGAAGGACGTGTAAGTTTTCCAAAGGATAGAAATATATACAACAGCACTATCAGAACTATGAACATCCTTATTGACTGCAAAAATTACTGGTAGCAATACACATGATGTCATACAAGCATCGTTGAGTTGATCATTGTGTTCTTTTTTAATATTTTTTTAAATATTGTTTTAAAATACTTGATACAAAGTCATGAGATTTCTTGGTGTAAAATGTTAAACTACTTACTGTATGAACCCGCGAGGATCCGGGTTAGAATAGGTCTTCGGCAACCCATGCTTGCTGTAAAAGGCGACTGTTTGTAGTAAGATGCGACTAACGGGATCGAGTGGTCAGGCTCGTTGACTTGGTTGATGTATGTCAACGTATCCAATTGCGTAGATCGATGCTCATTATATCAATCAATGAATTGTCAGACTCAGAATCGATTATTTACAGACCGCCGCCATGTAGCTGGAATATTTCTGAGTGCGGCGTTAAACAACAGACAAACAAACAAAAAATATTCTCATGCACGTTCATGTATATTGAGGATTATTTACGTTTGATTTTCATTCTTTATTTCTTTCAATTATTTATGTGTCATAATCATATGTATTGCATGTACCAATATATTAAGTATTCAGGTAGCTTATGTCTTTTAAGTATTTGTACAGTGAGTGATGCCTGTCGCAACCCTCTACTGAGGATCACAATGTAGAGGTTCTAACCAGGAGGATATGGCGTCAGTCCCTTTTCTCCCTCTTTTGTCATGTTTTTATCGCTCATTATTCTTTGCTTTTTCAGATTTTGTTCTCATATGTAACACACTGTATTTTCTTTTCCTTTTGTTGCTCTTTTCTCATATATCACATATTGTTTCTTTTTCTTCTTATCTTTAACCATATATCACATATTGTTTCTTTTTCTTCTTATCTTTTACCATATATCACATATTGTTTCTTTTTCTTCTTATCTTTTCTCATATATCACATATTGTTTCTTTTTCTTCTTATCGTTTACCATATATCACATATTGTAGCTTAAAATCACATTGTTGCGTTCCTTCTTCTTTTTGGCACTTTCTCCTTTATCTCTCTTTTCTCATTTATCAAATGTTTTACTTTTACTTTTTTCTTTCTCTTTCTCCATACATCACACATTTCACTTTATCCTTTTCTTTTCCAAATATGCCACATTGTACTTTTCCTTTATCACATAGCTCAGTGAACTACAGTATCACAATACATGTATTGATGTAAATGTATAGCCTTACCTATGATAAATAGCAAATACAAAGTATATAAAACCATCAGTGTAACAACCAATCATGAAGCAGCCTTTATAAACACATAGTTAACAATATAAGAGTGCATTTTGTAAAGTATTAGACATCAAAATGTAAAACGCATGCACGTTTTCCATTTCACAATGTGAGTGTGTGAAGGAGTGAGATACATAACTTAACCTTGCATCATCAATATTTCAGCCAAACGGCTCATCATTTATCATACCAAGCAAAAGTACTTAGTGTAAGAAAGCACATGTGCTGTCAGTGACGTACCTGAAGCTGATGTGATAATATGTCACGTTGAGCGATACACGAGAAATATCGTGATGTTGCCGAGACTAACACTACACTTATACGAGAACTTTCACACGGATATAACTGTCACATCCGTGTCCATGATTGAGTCATATATCTCTTTTGTTCATTGTACGTGGTTCTTTTCTCCTGCAGTAACTTTTGATAACGTTTGCAATTTGTGGTCAAGTCCAAATTTCAAGTGTATACTTTCTTTTACCCGGCAGTGTATTGCACAATCAGGCATATATTGGGCAAACTTACATTTCCACTAACTGGATCATCAAGCAATTTATTGTATGCCATTACAAAATATATATTCGTTTTATTCGTATAACAAAATGTGTGTGTCCTTGTCTAAGAAGATAAAGAAGAAGTTCATCTTCTTTGACAAATCTTAAATCATTCAACATCCTGTCCATTACTCTATTATTTAAGTTGTTTCACACATTTTGTTTGACGTTTTAATAACTTTAATATGGTTGGCTGTGTGAATGTTAAGCAAGTGTCTAGCAGGATCAACGATACACATGATCAGCGGGACACAATAACACGCAGCAATGTCACCGATCTTCTTCAGCAGGCTCTAACAAGAATGGGGTACTGGGGCTCTGTTCATCTCAGGTGGCACTCAAGGCTCTTGCATATATACATATGGAAATCATATGCAGCGTGTGTGTGTGTGTGTTTTTTAATCCATTCGTACATATTTCAATATATTTTGTTCCACATCGAATACTATCATGGCATGTGGTACCTGTCTTGTGTATGCATGGATGTCATTGGTCGTAACCATACGCATTAAATCATTTCAGGGGCGATGTTAGATACTATGCATGTTATATAACAGTGGTAGTTAATTCATTGACTCAATTTGTAAGGGTATATTGTCTTAGGTAGGTTCTGTGTTGACAATCATCAAGTATACCCACACAGAAATAATTTACATATTCAGGTTACCAAGTTTAATTAATGTTTGGTCAAATTTTAGGATGAGAATATAACTAACCTCTTTACGAATGTCATTTAGTTCATGTATACCTGTCACAGAAAGTAAGAAATGTGAAACTGTGAAAGATGTGAGACTTTGTATGAGTTAAATCGGAAAGTGTACAAAAATGGTCATTACGTCATCAAGGAAAATAACGACAGCTACCCGAATATCCCAAAGTATGTTTTACATTCTATAACACAAATTGTAACAGAACGATGAAAAGAACAAATGCGGAACAAGGTAGAGCAAACATCGGGGGAAATTCGCTCAGCTGTCCTGGAGACATAGAAGCTAATTATTTCTCTTGAAAGTGAGTTAAGCCACGTTCCACGAAATGTAGCCTATGACTTGCATAAGTCCGTTCAAGATTAGTAGGTAGTACGTCATAAGTAGTAAGCATGGGGTGGTGGTATTGTTCCTGTGGAAATCTTTTGTTGACGCTGACAAGGCTCTGTTTCTCTGGTGTCTTTTTCTTATTTCATCCTCCAACTATACTGTCCCTTTTAACATGATACATTACTAGAAATGTTGGCCTAGGGTTTTGGTGACAGGCTGGCTTGTAATTTACTGTCTGTGATGATTTCAGGGCGATGGTCTGCTAGAGGAAGGGCAGGGTTTTGGTGATGGCGATATAGTTCAAGCTGTTTCACTACGACAGCGATTAGCAATACATACTTTTTTTTCACAACGGATGCACAATTTTCAGCCAGTTCAATTAGACCGTCAACGAGTTCATATTCCTCAAACAAGGACCACGGAATGTACAAGTACACAACTTCCACATCCGGTCACGCATTATCCACGGGAACAACTTAAAAATCCGAAACAGATTTTTTCAAAAGTTGAACCACCATTAAAGACGGCGCGGGACAATCAACAAAGCTCTTCGAAAAAATCATTTCTGGAAGGATATAAAAATGATCTGACTCATTTGATACAAAAAATGGCACTTCGAAAAGGAGGGAGGCAAATATTAGAAAAACTTAACATCATTGAAAAACAGATGTCCCCCAGAACTGGACAGATGCATTCTGGCATGACTTTGAACCCCGAAAAGATTGATCGTTTGCTCCGTGTTTTGGCGGGACTCAAATCATCCGAATCAGGGAGGAACGTACTCCATCAGCTGGATCTGACAAGATTTGCTCGTCTCGAGGACCCGATCTCGGTCCCGGCAACTCGTTCGGGGACCCGTGTCTCGAATGCTGATGTGCCTGTCGACCTTGACTTTAGTGCCTATAACTTTAATGGAGGCCCCAACTGTGTGGACGAACTGTTCCGGTCGGCAATGGACAGGTACACAAGAAACAGTGAGTACGGCAGCCATTTGGATTTTACGTCGCTTTTGTAAATCTTGCAGGTATATCATTTGGTAGAATCCTGTCATCCTCAAAACACATAATAATATTTTTTCAAAACAATAAAAGGTGTGAAGTTCGGCATGAGGTATGTAGATATGGTTCATTCTCATCCAGATCAAAATCGTTCAAAACAATTCAAAGTTAGGCACGTGTAATGAAGCTGTTACATGGCATTTCCATAGCCAATTTAGCCATAGTCCATTTCACACTGGCTGTTAACATAAACGGAATATACTTTTACACAAGGGACCAGTAGTGTGTTACAGGCGGAAGAAGGGGAGGGGGGATTCAGAAGGAGTCAGCGGTGAGTCGCCAACAATTTGACAGTGTCATACAGGTCATATATAATAATACACATATTCTGAGAGAACATGAGGTCATTCAAAATTTGACAAGCATTAGGGAAGGGTAATTATTTCATCAAAAACCTATCCACTAAACATAAACATTCTGACACATTATAGTGAAGATGTTAACACTAACACTCAACTGCACATGAGACAGAGTCGTTCGATTAAAGCGAACCTGCAAAAGTACTACATTGATACAACAACATTTTCGCTCATCATACTTCTCGCAAAAATAGTTATGCTGCTTTGAACCTTTTAATAAACGTCCTACATGTGCACAAATGTAAAGTTTCTCCTGCACCATAAGCATTGGTAGATATATACAGTAAACTACGGATATAACGAACTCAAAGGGACCACTAATTTGATTTCGTTATAACCGTAGTTCTTTATAAGCATATACACAGCATAACTACAGCAAATAGTCGGGACAAAAAAGTAAGATCGCTATATCCGCCAGTTCGTTATAAGCGTGTTCGTTATAAACGTAGTTTACTGTAAAAGTTTCCTAATTCCATTTACTCATTTTGGTAATATGTGAATACCAGGATCAAAATCAAATAAAATGTATTTATAAATTTCAAGATCAGTGTAAATTTCACTATCAATGTCAATACTAGTGTTAGCGTCAGTATACCGAGCTTACTATTCTTTGCGAGACCATGTGGACATTCCATAACCTGCAGTCTCATTGCTGGAATTTAAGTCTAAAGACTTGGTCCCTATCTTAGCCATCTAAATGTTGTGCTAGTTGCCTCATAAAGACCTCTCAGAAAATGTACAGGCATTTTTTGGTTTTATTGTGGTCTACTTAAAGATGCCTTCTGTAGCTTAGCTGGTACGTGCATCAAACGAGCATATTACTGTACTGTGTATCCCATGTGTCTGTGCAGGTAAGATCGATGAGGTGTATGGACGTGCCCCCGGCTACATCACGACAGAGATGGACATGGTTCTGACCGGCGACCAATGGAAATACTTCTATAACAATATGTCGTACGTAGACCGCAATCTTTCATTTCCGACAGCATAATTTCGATATTTCACTTAATGATAAATAATTGATGCATTTACTAAATCCTTTGGCTAAGTTTCCATTAAGTGTTTTGAAGGCTTGGTGGCTCGATAACATGTCTGTACTTCACATTTAATATCAACGAACTAACTATATAATATACACTGGTATTTATGAAGGGAACACCTAGTTTTAGACACAGTCAAATGGTATGCTATCATGGGTTCCAAGCCTTCTCATCTTATACGCTTTGGAAACACTGTACACAAACACATCTCAACATTTGATTCTGACATGTGTTCAATTTTACATGCGCTATTTCAAATGTCATGACAGTAAATCTTATTTCCCTATATTTTCAGTGTTCCCTTATTCGTTGCCATCAGTATATGTATAATAATGTTTTAAAATATAAGATTGTTGAAATGTGTTTGATCAATTGTGCAGATTTCCCCCAAGAAGAGGGAAGCGTTCAGTAGACAGTGATCCCCCCGAGTTGACACGACATAAACGAAAGGCAATCAAACATAATAGATACTACTGGCCAGGCAAGGTGATCCCTTATGCTATCAACGAAGAGGATTTTAGTAAGTGCGCTTCATTATGAACGATTCTTGAGAAGTTTAATTCAGTATTTCATACGATTCTCAGGATGAAGGCGTGATAACAATAACCTATATAGTGAGTGAGTAAGGTTTTACACCGCTTTTATTCCAGCACTATCACGGCGGGGGACACCAGAAATGGGCTCCACACATTGTACCTATGTCGGGAATGGTAGCCGTGATTTTGGCATGACGAGCAAACGCTTTAACCACTAGGCTACCCCACCGTCCCATATAGCCAAAATAAGTTCAAATACCATAGATATTTGGCTAATCTTGTCATGTGATATATTTATCTCATTCATTTGATATTTTCACAGGGTGCCCAGCTACAAGTGAAAATAACAAATTATAAGGTCACGAGATCAGACTAATAATTTACATGACATAATAATCCAAATGTTTGATCACACTCATCTTAGTGATAAGCCACAGTGACCTCGAGACAGACTGATAGTACACGTAGTTCACGGTTTTCACTCGAGTCAAATAAATATTTTTTGTATGTTCAGATGAATACATGTTCATCTCTAAAAGACCCGTGAAAATCCGGTGAAGAATGTGTTAGCTTGTCAAAATATAGAAGGTCTTCAGCACCCATGCTTGCCGTAAAAGGCGACTATGCTTGTCATGGAGGCGACTATCGGTACCGGTACCGGTTGGTAAGGTTGATGCATGTCATCGTATCCCAGTTGCGCGGATTGATGCTCATGATGTCAATCACTGGAGTGTCTGTTCCTGACTCAATTATTTACAGACCGCCGTCATATAGCTGGAATATTGCTGAGTGCGGCTTAAAACAACAAACAAACAAACATTAATGCTGGCTATAATAGACGCCCCTGAAACTAATTACGATGGCGCTATATTGCTGAGTGCAACATTAAACAACAAACAATCAATACAATCATCTCTAAATATATAATATATAGTCAGTGCAAATTATGTCGGTTCATTATTTAACATGGTGGCAAGGCAGTCATTTTCTCTAAAACTTGGAGACGAATTTATTAAATCAGAATGAACCTCCGTGATGACAGGCACAGGGTATCCCACATGTGTACACAATGTACCATACAAATAATTTTCTACCCACATTGAGGACAGGGCGGACGAATATCATGGATATAACAGCATAACATTCGTTCATCCTAAAATTTATGTTTTTCAAGAAAAAAATAATTGTTAAAGCGAATTATATTTTCAAAATATAGCCATTTCTTTGAGTGATGACTAACCGCCAGTACACTTCACTTTTTGTTTACAGTATTGCTATGTTAAGATATTTTCCATTTAAAATCAAACATATGATAAAATCTTCTTAGAGGTTGGACCTTGTGCATTTGTCTGATCCTTAGCATGGAGTCGCCAAGGCAAGGTATGTAACGAAACATTTAAATTCATAACATATCATATAATGTGAATGAGGGGCAAAAGAAAGTATGCCGAGGTTTTTATGTTATTGAAATATGAAGAATTGTTGACATCCCTCGTTTATGCAACAGTTTGTAAAACGTGGTCTGTAGCTGGGTAATTTTGTGTACAAATAAATTGGTTCTTTGAAGACTTGTGTAGAAATGGATTTGCAACCACATGACCCCTGCCATGTTTGAAATGTTGTAAATATACTTACTGATTTTCAAAGGTGTCTAAGATAGCCATAAGCAGTTGTGTTTTATGTGAAATTTGTTTGTTTTAAAAAAATAAAATTTTAAAGCGAATTATATTTTCAAAATATAGCCATTTCTTTGAGTGATGACTAACCGCCAGTACACTTCACTTTTTGGTTACAGTATTGCTAAGTTAAGATATTTTCCATTTAAAATCAAACATATGATAAATCTTCTTAGAGGTATAGTTTCTTTTGCTCCTCAAAAATATTTTTAGCAGTAAATCACACTCTTTTATAGATAAGAAATATATCAAACAAACAATGACACATTTCACAATTTCCGCCATTCAAAGGCTCTTTATTTGATATTATAGGTTGATGATGAAATAGACTTAATATCGAAATGTGCAGTTTCTCCAAATAAAAATAGTCTTATCACAGAATTAGCTCGAAATGTGTTAATATTGTAAGTATTATCACAATAGGTACATTGTACTAACAAGCTTAAGGATGAGACAGTGATTGAGGAGACAAATTAAGATGAATGTGTAGCCTGTGTAACGTCATCAATCTCTCAGCGATACAAGTGCCTTAACATAACCTTAAGGGTACATTTTAACCGATATAACACAATCTATGTGATATAAACAGATAAACGATAGAACTAAAGTTACAGCTGTTGCAATCTGTCAAGCTGTTTATGGGGTATTTCTGATATATGAATGTTTTTTTATGAAGTAGTGGTGCGTTAATACATTTCTGTGTGACATAACACACTTGCTGACTAAGCATAAGCATTTGAACTGATATTAGAAAGGGGAGAGAGAGAGGAGAGAGAGAGAGAGAGAGAGAGAGAGACATCGTGGGATAACATATTTCTCCGTCCTCTTGTCCGTAAATTATTTTCACGCTCTGGAACACACATGTATACAGTAAACTACGGTTATAACGAACTCAAAGGGACTACTAATTTTAGTTCGTTATAACCGTAATTCGTTATAAGCATATATACAGCATAACTACAGCATATAGTCGGGACTTAAAAGTTAGTTAGTTATATCCGTTAGTTCGTTATAAGCGTGTTCGTTATAACCGTAGTTTACTGTAGAGAGAAAAGCTCAGCAATACGATATTTTGACAATCGTTAAGAATCTCTTTCTGAAACACCACAAGACATAGAAAGCTGAAACCGAATGAGCGTGTTTGTCCTACTAAAGGGCCGCTTTGAAAACTATTCCAGTTATATCACAACGTGTCGGCTTTAAATGGGAGGAAAGCCCGAGGTGATACAGATCCTCTTCTATTAAACCGGTATGGAGCTGACAAAGCAATGATCATCATGATGACAAATGTACGATAATAACATCATGGAACGACTAAGAGACGTAACTTCCGCTGGTGCGTCCAAGATATTCATGGGTGGGTTTTGTGCCTCTTTGCATACCGGAGGGAAGCTGACTGGGCTCCGGAGTTGAAAGATTATTTTCTTCATGTCGTTCTGTAACCCAGTTTTAACCAGTTTGGGGGTTAGCCCCCACTGGACGATGTAAGTTTTGGTTCAGGGGATTACATCCTCGTACATCATCAAACTATTATTATTATCATTATGATGATGATGATGATGATGATGATGATGATCATGTACAGATTAAACAATAAATGCAGCAAAGGGGGTAAGGGTGATCCTGGCAGTCATCAGCTTGCCCACTCTACACGCAGCCCAGACAGCGAATGGGACTTCTCCCAGGAAGCGCTGCCTAGTCAAACCCACCGAAATCTTTTCGGAGAATGTGAAGACTCCCCAACAATGCAGCCTTCGGCATTACCCTGATTGTCAGAAGGGATGCATTCCTGGTAACAAACCAGGGTACTCTCCCGATGTCAGTCAACAGATTGGGAGGTACCAATCCTAAGGCACCGAGAACAATGTGTGACATTTCGAAAGCGAGGTCCGCATATTTGCCATGTTTTTCTTGAATCTTGTCAATCACATTGGTGTCAAAAGGGGAAAAAAAATTCAATATGAATGATTTCATTGGATTTATAAAAAATGACAAGATCAGGTTTGTTGGCCTGGATATGTCTGAGGCTGTAAATGGGCCTTTTCAAAGGAATTTTGTATTAATCATTTTCCATGAGGCCTTATTTTGCGTCGTACCATGGATGGGCCTCTGTGTCAAAACCACAAGCATGGCGAAGACGATCGAGCTACACCATCATGTCGCTTAAGATACTGTGTTTATGCCAAAGCTGGGTATCCACTGACAATGTGTTGGACAGTCTCATTAAATTCATTACATAATCTACATTTCATATTTACATTTTCATGCAAAATCACACATTGACGGTTTCGAGTGGGAAGTGACTGGTCCTGAGCAGCAAACAGAAAGCATTCTGTTTCACTTTTCAGGCCAGCCGACCTCATCAAAGCGAAGGACTCTGTAGGGTTGCTGAACCTCTCAACACACTGCACACAAACGCGATGCAGTGGTCGTTCAGTTAGCCTCTCCTTGAAAAACTGAGTCTTGGCTGATTTGTTATGGCATTTCACTTCGTTGACACCCATTTCTGTACCGTCCATTATTATTATTATTATTATTATTATTATTATTATTATTAGTCCAACATAACTATGATAATATGAATTAACTGATACCTGTAAAGCAGTTATTACGTGGTTTAGATGATATTGATTGCTTGGCTTTGCTGAATTATAAGCCTACTGTATACATACACTGCACACTGCACACCCTACTGGTGTCAGACAGACGGCGGTAGTACTATGACGTTTTATAGCATATTGCGGTCAACCTTTAAAAACTGTGCATAGTAGAAGAGTTAACCTAATGGGGGAACAGTTTCACAATGATTAATTAACCTATAAAGTTTATAGCTAAAAATATAATTGAGTTAAATGTTTCTTAAAAGTCATTATACGGGCAATGAGAACATAAACACAGTTACATTTGCCCTTGAGTATATCTGTATGTTGGTTTCAGGCTGGAGTGACATCATGTTGTTTGAACGCGCGATGTACGATTGGGAACAGGCCACTTGCATCCGATTCAAGATGTCCACCGCAAATGACAACAATAGGATCCGGTTCCGCAATGGTGCTGGGTTTGTATAAATACTGGAATCGTTTTTTGACATGTTACATGTAATGACATGTAAAGCTGGTGAAACAAGTTCAGTGTGAGTGTGCCTTGGACCCTCAAATAATGGTATATCATCCACAAACTCATTGTGACGTCCTAGCTTGGCATCTTTAAGCGGTATCCGGAGGTCACTGTACATTGTGGATGACAAATTCTTTATTATTTCTCAAAGGCTTTTTAAGATTAAAGGAAAAGCCACTGCACATCACTGGGAAATAACACAGACGTATCAATATATTAAGCAATTTACGTCCATTGGTGTACTAACTATGCTAAATACTACGGAAGCGTAGTAGGGCCACGGTGAATATTTTTTTTTGTCTAAGTATCTCCTACGTAGGACTTAGTATCAGATATTTAGATATTCAGTCCTACGTAGGAGATACTAAGTCCTACGTAAGAGATACTAAGTCCTACGTAGGAGATACTAAGTCTTACGTAGGAGATACTTAGACAAAAAATAATATCACCGTGGCCCTACTACGCTTCCGTAAAATACATACTCAAAACAATGTGCACGTGTCCAAAATATACGTTTCAATTTATTTCTGATCGTGTTTCTTAAAGCAATAGTTGAACTACCACAGTTTTACAGAGGTGTGTTCACATGAACGTGAGTTGACTGTGAACTTGGTTTTGTCCTTGTAGGTGTAGCTCTCACGTGGGGATGATTGGTGGCGTACAGAACATCACCCTCCAGGGACCCTGCAGGATCGTGAGTAACAGCATACACACATTACTGCTGGACCTGTGAAGATCCGGGGTAGAATAGGTCTTCAGCAACCCCTGCTTGCCGTAAAAGGCGACTATGATTGTCGTAATCGGGATCGGGATCGGGATCGGGTGTCAGGCTCGCTGACTTGGTTGATACATGTCATCGTATCCTAATTGCGTGGATTGATGCTCATGATGTCAATCACTGGATTGTCTGGTCCAGACTCAATCACTTACAGACAGCCGTCATATAGCTGGAATATTGCTGAGTGCGGCTTAAAACGAAAAACAAACAAACATTAATGCTGGCTATAATAGACGCCCCTGAAACTAATTACGATGGCGCTATATTGCTTGTTTCCAGGTTCCAGACCTCGTATCCTTAAACTCGTGTGTAATAGGTTTCGGCACTTGGTTTTATGCTGAAGAAGTCGAAGATATCTTGTGTATCAGATGGACAACATGGACAGTGTGGGTGGAGGTCGGTGGGAAGGTGCCCAAATTCATGATAGGGTTACCGTGGGAATTCCAGTTAAGAATGGGTTCCCTAGCGTTTTGCCAGTGTTTTGGAAAAGACTACAGACATGGCATGCTTCCCTGTGTCTTGAAATTATATTTGACGGTAGTGTAAACCAATGTTTATCATTGAAAGTATCTCTGTTTATAGCGTCGTATCGTGCTTCACGAAATTGGCCACTCCATTGGACTCGTGCACGAACATCAGAGACCCGATCGAGACCGGTTTATCACGATTCTTCACGAAAACGCCCGACCTGGAACGGAATGGGACTTCAAGAAACGAACCTGGGCGACTGTGGTTAACCATACCGTTGGATATGACTACAAATCCGTAATGCATTATGGTCCAAAGGTGAGACGATGTCTTCGTGCTGAGACCTGGAACTGTGTTATCCCCCTTCTCGATCATATCATGTGCCCCTTGTAGCACTCCATCTGTGACAGTTTGGCCCACCTTATTTTCCGTGTGCCGCTGTCACCAACTTATAAGTGTTCATGTCATCCTAATCAAGATGTGCCCCTTCAACACCCCCTTTACTCTGTTACACTCACAAACTCACAAAAAAAAACTCACTCACTCACTCACTCACTCACTTCAGGCTTTTTCAATGGACCGGATCCGGCCGACCATCCTCGCGAAGGACACGACATTCCAGGACGTCATCGGTAAAGTGACAGAGCTCTCCTTCGACGATAAGAAGCTTGTGAACATGATGTACAGGTGCAGCAGTAAGTTTCATCCACACCCAGCATAATCCCCTCGCCCCCTTAAAAAAGTTACTGAATAACCTGAAATGTGTTCCATAAAAATTCTTTGCCCAAAAATATATGCCTCGCAGCAGTGACAGTATATATTATTTTGTCTCTGACCAAAATCCTAAAAGTCAAGCCATTGCAAATTAAAGCCCGCTTTTGTATTTGTAGGTCACTGCTCTAATACGATGACGTGCAACCAGGGCGGCTATTTAAGCAAGAATTGCAGGTGCATCTGTCGGCCTGAGTACCCCAATTGTGAGGTATACAGGAAAACAGACACACGGGACTTCAGTACCTATCGCTTCTACGACTACGACTGGATGAGCCTCTTCGCAGCCTTCTCCTGGAACGCCTTGAACACCGTGGGTTTCACCAACGACTGGATCAGTTCCGCCGATCCATCTACAGCGATGCCAAGTACAAACTCTAGGGCCGCACAGCCGAATATCCTCCACGAACGTTACGATACTTATATCCCTCGACCAACTCCGGAAGCGCACAAAGTGGTGACACTTGATGTACACACAGGTACGGTGCAACAGCCGGCAAATTCCCGGAGGCAGCCGCTTCCTCCTCGGACGATGCTGCAGCAGAGGTTCAACCCGCGGATGGTGCGCCAGCCTGTACCCTACAGGTTTCCCATGATGCGATACAGGCGCACTGCACAACTGGACCACAGCACCCACCGCAAAATTTTGTTTACTAACGAGCACGGAGTAAATTCCGTTTGGGATATGAAACAGCCTTTAGAATTTGGCAAGGGGGAATCGCATGGCTCTTTTCCACTTCTCGTGAAAAATAAAATGCAGGATAAAGATTCCTTACCCCAAGATGATTCGCCAGTTGCCTCGCCAACAGCCTCCGCATCGTCAACAGCTCCAGCAACGTCGACAGCTCCAGCATCGTCAAAAGACTCTCCTTCCAAGCGACGGGTTCCAAGGGCGATAACTTTCCTGAACAACAACAGAGGTACACGGTACAATGCACGCAGAGGCAAAGCTACACGTTTCGACACATACAGACGTCGGTACAAACCGAGAAAGAGGAGAAAGTTTAGCCGAGCTTTCTTCAGGGGTTTCAGCAAAAATGATCGAGAAGCCAGAATTAGGTATGCGTTTTACAGATCGGCGAGCAGACGAAACTCATATTGGAAATGACACGATGAATTTCAAGATATGTACAGTATCGTATTGCTATGATCACTTCCCTGCATTGGTGTAGGGTAAATATATATGTGCACTATTGCTAGCAATATGGCACTGCTATATTTATACAAATTTGATTTGATCATAGCAAGCCTGTGATTTAATTGAGTATGCTAAAAAGTCCATACCTTCGGTTCATTCTTTGTTAAATTTCAAGATGTCATGATGTAATTTCAACGAAACGATTTATTAATAAAATCACAATGTCATTTCAAAAATCAATGTTGTATGTCGACCGTCTTTATAATGTGAAAGTTCAAATTATGTTTTTTAGGCTTTAATGTTATCGTTGAGAGTTCGGACATATTGTTTTATGATCATGCCTCCAAATAATTTATTGGCAACCGACTCGAACTTATTATTTTTTAATAAACATTGATTCATCTGAACACATTCGCCGCTGAAAATATAAACTGAAGGAAACTAATTAGAGTACACTACTTCATCGTTTTGCTTTTTTATTCCCAGAATCTCCCCCACAATGCACGACAAAGCTTGCAAAGATTATTTATTTCCTTGAGTATATATTTCTTAAACGCACTTCAGAGAATAATCGAGAGTTGCGTCCCTTTGAGATAATGGCGACTGCTCGTGCTTATATCCTTGGTGAGGGCAGTTTGTAAACCACTGATGGGAGTAAATGCATTTGTTTCGTACTGACCGTCGACAGGTTAGTTACACATGCTGTGTTAAACATTACAATGAAACAGTTCCTCCTTGTAATGAACGCTGTGGGTTATGCATTTAGGGAAGCTTGATGTGACGTACTCTACAGGGCATGAGGAAAATAAACCAAAGATCATCATGGTCACTCTTTTTGTTGTCTATATCAACTGATGAGTGAGTGAGTGAGTGAGTTGGGTATAACGCCGCTTTTAAGGTATTTCAGTGAGGCTGAATCAGTTTGACTTGAGAGGAAAGTTCGAAATGTTGAAACTCACGAGCATGGATATGGTGCTGACAAACCTAGAAACATAAACAGGGCGAACCGGGATTCGAACCCACAATCACAGGTTTCTGGCGTTTTCAAGGGGCGCAACTCTGAACAGTTAATTGTGGCCTCAGCAGTTTTAGGTTATGACGTAGCGACATATCATATCTGTATTTGGGGAAAACAAAACTTAAAAAGTTCGATTCTGACCAACCTTATGGCCTTATATTTTAGAAACTCCTTCACGTCGGAAGCTAACTAGGGACATAGACCTTCTTTACTTCGGAAGCCAACTAGGGACATAGACCTTCTTTACTTCGGAAGCCAACTAGGGACAAAGACCTCCTTTACTTAGGAAGCCAACCAGGGACATAGACCCTGCTTTACTTCGGAAGCCAACAAGGGACATACACTCCTGTACCTCGGAAGCCAACCAGGGACAAAGACCTTCTTTACCTCGGAAGCCATCTAGGGACATAGACCTCCTTTACTTCGGAGGCCAAATAGGGACATAGAACCTCCTTTACTTCGGAAGCCAACAATGGACATACACTCCTGTACCTCGGAAGCCAACCAGGGACATAGACCTCCTTTACCTCGGAAGCCATCCAGGGACATAGACCTCCTTTACTTCGGAAGCCATCCAGGGACATAGACATCCTTTACTTTCGGAAGCCAACCAGGGACATAGACCTCCTTTACCTCGGAAGCCAACCAGGGACCTACGCTCCTTTACTTCGGAAGCCAACCAGGGACATAGACCTCCTTTACTTCGGAAGCCAACTAGGGACATAGACCTCCTTTACTTCGGAAGCCAACTAGGGACATAGACCTTCTTTACTTCGGAAGCCAACAAGGGACATAGACCTTCTTATTTCGGAAGCCAACAAGGGACATAGACATTCTTTACTTCGGAGGCCTACTTTGTACATAGACCTCCTTTACTTAGGAAGCCAAATAAGAGCACTAAGAGCACATTATCTCATGGATGTCAGGGCGCGCCTTAGTACTTTGTACATGTACATTGTGAGGCAAAGAGTCTGTCGGCTTGTCTCAACCTATCAAATAACCTCGGGCGGACCGGAGGGAGATCCGTGTTGGAACTAGTTTACTATGGTTACAGGCGGCCTAAGCCGCATTTCGAAAATAGATAGCCAAAATTGATGTGGCTCTCGTGGCAATGGTTACGGTTGCGTGATTGTGGAATGTGGCTCTCGTGGCTATGCTGTCAAAACATGCTTTGTGATTCTAACAGGTTACCGTATTTGTTTTCTCATTTTTTATTCAGATCATAACAGGGATAATTTATTCAACATTACATTGATGGATATCATGACAGGTCATATTACATTGTCACATTACAGGTCACGATTGTGTAATGAATTGTACTTCCTTCTTCGTGAAGGTGAGAGGGTCTCATGACTGCAACCTCTGTGTGTGACTGGTCGCGCTGAAAGAGGTTCACTACCTCGTTGATCGGCATTTCGGGTGGCACTTCTTGGCAAGTCTCTTTATCTTGTTGTGCCACCCTTCTAGGTGATTCTTGGTACGGTGGCCTTGGTTGTCGAAGTGATTCCAAATCTCTGGGATGAAGGCCTGTCCTTGAACCCAACTGGTTGTCACATAGTCCACGAAGGCAGTCACTTTAGGGCCAGCAGGAGAGTCAGCAATGGCATCAAGCCACACATCATCCACCATGTCACGAGGTGGCGTGAAGCAACTCACCCTGAGTTGTGATCCTTGCCGTGCACTCCTTGACAATACAGGACCAGTATCTTCTTCCACCACGACTGCTCTTACACCGAAACTTAAAGCCATCACTTAAATATGTTATGAATAATAGGATTAACTCAATGTCAGTTAAGAACGTTTACTCAATTTAAATGTGGGACACTCATTTAAAGGTATCGGTAATCTGATTAATTAATTACCGGCTAGAGTGGGTGAAATGCACACAGCTGAAAATGTGGCGCATTCGGCAATAGTCATTTTTGAAATGTGGCTCAACCGGCTAGACACCGTTTACTATTATTTGTTATAACTATTATAAGGGTAACGCTATTTTTCTGGCTGTCCGTATTTTATATGAGTTCACCATCTCCATTCCGACGTGAAATTAGAGAGTTTTCGTGAATCCATTTTCCCTGGCGCTGTGGAATATTGTGCACAAATCGAATAAAAGAAATACCAGTTGATCAAGATCCACCATTGCAGCGTCATAATAAAACAGGTTAAAAGGTCATCTTTATTTTTCTTCAGTTGTTTATTAAAAATTCGTTTCCGAAGCAAAGCGACTCGATCTACATCTTTAGTCATTCATAGACTTAATTCTAGTAACAAGTGTTTTAAACTTATTTTAAAATGTCATATAACAACTCACACAATTATTGAAAGGCATTATTTTATAAATTACATATTTTATTTCGTCCGCCCGCTCTCTAGATTAGATGAGGTTTGAGGTGAGAAACACATATAAAAAATATGGATGGCTTTATGGAAATGCACTCGGCATGCATCAACAGGGAATCTTGGTCACTGCCATGGGACCCGCCGAGTTTCAAGGATCGAGTGACTTCGGCATCAGGAACTTTCGGACAAGTGTGGCTTTGCCAAACCACATTGCTACTGAGAAATGAAACGACAAAAAGCTACTTTCATCACTTGAAAATATTTCTGACCATTACCAGGGTTTTCACGGTCGTTGTCATCCAGTTTCCAAATTAAGGCAAGACGAACACAACGAAAAAAGAACCACTTGAAATCACTTGTTTGCCTGGTATATAGTGAGAAATGCTATTCATAAACTACAGTCATACCGTACACCAGAGCACTACCATTGGTGCCATGATACATATTATGGTGTTTTTTATATTAAAAAAACACTGCTCTTATTCATTACGACAAACGTGTTTTGTTCTCGTCCAGCGAATAGCGCATAACTAATTTGTGTGTTGGACTGGAATAAAGACATAAATCGTGGACATTTAGAAGATAAATACTATGTGTGTGTCTATTTCCGGGATTTTATCGAGCATTTGCATCTTTGAAATTCATCTCGAGACCCGAAAGCGTTAGCTTGAGGGGCTCGAATGAAAATTTCCAAGATGCAAATACTCGATAAAATCCCGGAAATAGACACACACATAGTATTTATCGATATTGTAAACCTATTGTTTTATTTAGAAAAAAACATGCGCACTCTTTAACACCTCGTACTTTCTCGGTTGTGATGCGTCAACATCGAACGTTCTGTTGCTGCTATGGTGATTGTGATTTTGGTAATTAACGTACACCGGTAATGAGACGCAAATACCATCACGTATATTTCAACTGCGATACCTACATCCTTGAATTCCTCATACATTTTAGAATCAAATGCCAAATGGTCTTTGTCACCAATACAAATTGTCTAAATGTAATGAAGCAAAATAAATGAGGTGGGAAAACGGACGCTGAAAAAACTGCACTTGTTGGAAATGTAAACAAAGCCATTCGTCTATTCGTTGAATACATTGGCTCGAGATCTGCATTTTCAGAATATACAGGGGAAGAGAATCGTACGAAGAATTAGGGAATTAAACATATATACATTGCAATAATTTGATATTTTCAACAGACCTTGTCGAAGTTCCCGTCCTGTGTGACGCCATGACTGACGCAAAATCACGCACAACGACAGCGGTATTTATCAGAATTTCTGACTATTTACGTTGGTTTCAATGAAAAATACAACAACAAAAAACCGTACATAGATTGTCAGAATGTTTCTGATTACTTACATGTCACATCTATGTATATACGAACCCTGAATCAACGAAAGTCCCCTCGTAAAATCCCGCGCACTGTTGACAGTCAACACGCCATTTTGTAAAACTCGGTCACCGGTAGTGATGTCAAACTTCAACATACTTGTTGTACATATTTGGTAATTTCTCTAAGGTGAAGGTCCTTGAATGAAAGTACACACGATCATTGTTAACTGCTTTTTACTTTTTCATGATGTAGACCTTGCATATCTTTTGTACATTTTTTTAACACAATTAATTTCACTTTGGATATTAATTAAAAATTTAAAATCCCAATAATTCCCAAGAATAGCGAAAATCAAAATATTTGTTATGAATGTTAAGTTTGTATTTCAATTTGCGTCTATTGTTAATTAGTATGCAAAAAATGCTGAGTAATTATGTATTCCTACACAGTGATTCGGTCGCTTGCTTCAGGGAATGCAAATCATATTTTCACCCTTTGACATTTGGTCATGTGACCCAAATTAGCCAATCACAACACAGAACACCCTTTCTATAGGTTTACAATTATCGTTATATGAAGATGTGAAGACGACATGACAGAACCAAAGACCTACGCGTTTGTTGAAAACTCTTGGAATCGTTTGATGGATATTTAATACCTTGCTGTCAAACTGCCCATGGTTGGGTGTTTACACGTCAGGCCACCCGTTACGTCACCCGTTTACGCTTTAACCAGTGAAATGTGTGTGTTAGCATGACGTCATATTGACGTGTCAGATCACTCGTATAAGCTCCGCCCACTGAGAGCGCGGTATTCCCAAATGCTCCTTTAAGGTAGGCACACGGCACATTTCCAAATTTGACGCATCACTGACCAAAATTATGTCCGATACAATTCCCTACATTTACTTGTGCCATATGTAACCGTGTTTGTTAATGTGAGCAGTTGACGTGCCTTTGCATGTGTTGGTGACGGGTGCCACCTGTGGGACAGGATAAGCTCACCTTTATGCGAACAGCTGGTGTCAAGATTCAAGAGATTCAAGATTCAAGATGCTTTATTCAGTATTTTGGGCCATGTGGCCTAGAGTACAATTACAATTACAATAATTGCTGCGT